AAAGAAATAATTTCTTTCCTATCTACCCTATCAAATCCTTTAATCATCTTAAACACTTTAATTAGATCACCCTTAATTGTCTATACTCAAGTGAATACAAGCCTAGTCTATGAAACGTGCTCATATTATATAACCCTTGTAGTCCTGGTACCATTCTATAAGTCTATGCTGAAACCCTTCCAAGGCCAGTGTATTCTTTGTGAGATGCGCAGAGCTGAATGTAGTACTGCAGATGGGGTCTAACCAGTGCTCTGTATGACTTGATAATTTTCATCCCTTTGTAATCCAAGCCTCTTCAGATGAAGACCAACATTACATTGACCTTACTAAATTATTTTATTTGCACCATTGCAGTAGCTTTTTATTTCTGTGCTTGGGCCTTCTTAGTTCTTAGTTTCTCAAAATTGAGAAAATAGTCTGATATTTCTAAGGTTTTGGAGTAGATCTGTAGCTCGTGTTGAGGTTGGTTGGCTCGCCGAGCTGGTTTGTTGTTCCGCAGACGTTTCGTTACCATGCTTGGTAACATCCTCAGTGCAGCCTCTGATGAAATGTCGGTGTGTTTTCCTGCCTGGCGGGAAAACTGAGGATGTTACCAAGCACGGTAACGAAACGTCTGCGGAACAACAAACCAGCTCAGCGAGCCAACCAACCTCAGTAGTCTGATATTCTTTTAAATCTTAAATCTGATTTCACACTTTCCCACATTGAACGGTATCTGCCATAGTTTTGCCCATTATTCAAACAGCTATGCTTTTCATCGGGACTTATTCAATGATAACTAGAAGTAACAACTTGACTGATATTCCCCATCATTTGAGATCAATAATTGTTATTCCTGTTAACATCATATTTAACAAAGGATAAAAATTGAATCGATGATTTAATCTTTCTTTTATGATTGAGGTAACTAACTGTTGGAAAGCTGAGTTTAGTTCAGTTTGGTTTTGCTTTATCTGTTCGCTTGACTTCTCCTGAATTCATTCAGTGCACAGATCTTTAATTCCTGTGAGGAAACAATAAAACCAGACTTTTGTTTTCCCTGATAAACTAATATTTTATTATGGCACTGTGGGTTTGCTCCATTAACAAAGACTAGAAGGTACTGTTTTGCATCTGTAGCCATCCCAAGCAGAGTTTTTTTTTGCACTAAAAAGTGTGAACTTGATTCTGTTCAGTCGTCCATCCCTGACACAACAGAGAAAAAATTGTTTTGCGAATGAGTTGGTATATAAATCTGAGCTGAAATCAGAGCAAATCACTCCTTAATCGTGTTTTGCATTGCTGAAAAAAGATTGCGTTATAAAATTTAGTTTGTCTGGAAATGCCAGATGGAAGGGCAATGCCATTTTTAAAATTGCGTAAATCTTCTGGGAATTGCTTTGCTTACCTGTTTAAGAAATATTGTAGGAAAGAACTCTTCACCAGAAATGTTTCTACCCAAGAAGAGCTTCTTGCTTCAAGAGAATGCAGACAAGGGCACTCTGCTGTCAGTCACTGAGCATTGATTTGTTCACTAAGCAACAACTGAGATTCAGTCTGTTGTCATGGCTGCCCATGTTTATTTAAAAGAATCCAACACTCCATTAAATATCCTTCTGTCTGTGTTTTAACGCTATCTCTCGGGCATAATTTAGATTCATGTTTCAGTATTTGCAGAACAGCATCTTTGCAGTGACAGAGTTCTTGACTTCTTGAAAACTCATGAAGTTTTACATTAGCATGTCCTGATTTCATTTGTTAGATGTTTACCTTTGTGGTCTTGCTAGTTTTGCTCCAAGATTTTTCCCTGTGGTTTCAACATGCTTTGTCTGTTTCTCAGTGCTGTATGTTAATAGGAAATGGTGGCACACTGGTAATTTCATTGGACAATAAAGGAAAGGTCCAGGCTTATCCTCTGGGGCCACAGGTTCAGATCCCATCATGCTAACTGCTGGAATTTAAATTCAATTCATAAATTTGTGTAAACAGCTCATATCAGTGAAGGTGGCGATGAAAATGACATTGATTTTCAGAAGCTGTGGTTGACTAATGTCTTTTAGGGAAGAAAAGCTGTCATCCTTACCTGTGTTGGTCCACACATGACTTCAAATTGTCAGCAATGTGGTTGACTCTTGACTGCCTTCTGAATGGCCCAACCAAGTCACTTAGTTAAGGAGACATGGGTAATGCTGGCCTTGGCCCACATCCCTTGGAAAAATTTTTTTAAAATGTACTTCTTGCTGCAGATGTGACTGAAACTATTCAATTTTTTTTTAAGCTTTATTTGTTGTCTTAAGAAGCTAGTTTTTATTCATTTGTATCTGAAAAAAACAAATTTTTGTATAAAAGCAAAGTACTACAGGTGCTGGAAATCTGAACTAAACACAAAATGCTGGAGAAATCAGGTCTGACAATATTTTACATGAGCGAACCAGTTAACATCATCTTTGATCATATCGAAATTGAAATGCCAACTCTGCTTCTGTCTTCACAGAAGCTGTCAGACCTGTTGGATTTCTCTAGCACTGTTTTTATTACCAAAAATATTTGTGTTAATCCTGGTTTGTATAATTCTAAAGAAAAAGGTAGGAATAAGATTATAATGCAATCCATTAGAACATTCAAATAAATATTTACTAAAAATTGTCACGGATGATTATTGGCAACGAGTATTCCGTACAAGAAAGTGCTGTGTTACGTCACTTTGTAAATTCTTTAGCATCGATCTTATTTGAAATTCTGTGCTCAATACTTGTCTGTAACAATGTAAGATTTATTTACAGGCAGTCATTGACTTACAACCGGAGGTTTTCAAACCATCCTATATGTATTCTCAAGATATCAATGCAAATCTGTTGGTAAACTTCTGGTGTCCTAAAAACATCAGATAATTATGTGTACTGGGGAGGAGATTGGGCACTACTGACACTCCCTTAAAATAGAATGTACATATTAGAAATTCTTTGTCATAATTGCTTGTATTTTGTAAAATTGTTGTGTGATTCACAGATAAAATATACCTTAACTAGACTGTAATTTATAGCCAAGAAACAAATGGGTGGCAGAGCCAAATAAAATATGGTTGTTCCAAGTGTGCGAGTAGGTCATGCTGATTGTAATTCGCATGTTAAGTGTGAACGGTTTTTTTTTGGAAATCTTATATGTGGGATATGATGGAAATGACACCACATCTTTCTGTCTGAGGGACTGTGATATGGTTTACAGGGTGCAAAATAGTAAGTAGCTTTTCAATCCAGTTTTGAATTTGTTTATCCAAGGATTATCCAGTTTATCACTTGGTCAACAGCTTTAACTAGTTATTTGTCCATGATTAATATACTGTAAGTTTTTTGTAGTTTGGGCTGGCAAATGGCTGGTAACGTTTATGTAAGTTGTGTGCTAGGCTTTATCATGCAAGATAAGATCCAATTACTTCCCCCTCACCTTCAAATGCCTATAACATCTTGGTGTGGGGTGGGGTGTTGCTGCCATTAATCAGCAGCTTAACTACACCATGCATACCTTCATCATGACCCATTTTGTATCACATGGATCACCATTCCCTCTTAAAGCAAAAATTATGGATGGGTGTAGCTGCAGAAACCTACATGAATCTCAGCACCAAGTAAGACAGCGCTACTGTCCAGACTGGAGCTATCAGCTTGATTGAGGTTCAGATGCTGTACTTATTATCTACAGGATACACTTTAGTAACTCAGCAAAGTTACTTCAACAGCACGTCTCAAGCCTGCACTATCTAGCATCAAGAGGACCAAGACCTTCATTATAATGGGAGCACCATTACTTGCAAGTCCCACAGCGTTTGGACCTGAACACATGCTGTTCGATTACTGTTGATACGTCACAATCCTTGCATCCTCCAGTACCATCATGGATTGCCATAAAGATTGCAGGTTGAACTGGACACAGAATGTGGCATTAATTTCTGTTCGCTGTATGCAGCCAAATTGTTGCACTGCACTGTCCTTAATGTTGCACAACGATACAGCTTAATGGAACCATTGTCTGCCAATGTCATCTGCCTCCTAGGAATTCATAAAGATATATTCAGTTTGACCCATCTCAGTATTACTTTTGAGCACAGAAATAATACTCCAGTAATCATTGTAGAATGAAAACTATTTGTGAAATTATTTCCCTTGCTAGATCCAGTTGCACAGGTAGTCTCATACCATACACAGATGGCGATTCTTTTTTAAATCAGCCTACATAGTGAGCGTAATCATGTTGTCTTGCAATGGAGAATAAAGTAGCCTAGCTTGATCTTGTTCTTAATCAATGTTGGTACACACTGGTCTTCCAGATGGACTCACTGAGTAGGATCTTGCTGATATTTTTGCATTATTTCTGTCCTTTCCTTGTCCCAAGCGTTATTTGCTACTCAAGCTAGTTGTAATAGCTGCCTGGTATTGATCCTGCTATTAACTAGCTAAGCACAGGCCACACATTGAATTTGACTTTCTCTTTATTAGCAATAAGGAGAGGTTGGGCAAACTTGGATTCTTTTTGCTATGTGTTGGAGGTAAAGGCCAACTTGATAGAAGTATGTAAAATTATGAATGGCATGGATAGGGTGGATAGTCGGGGTTTCTTTTCCATGATGGAAATGTCAAATACAAGGGGAAATAAGTTTAAAGTGAGGGGGTAAATTTAAAGGAGATGTAAAAAAATTTCTCTTGTACACAGAGGGTGGTAGGTACCTGGAATATGCTGCCAGGGGAGGTGGTAGAAGCAAATATGATTAGCAAAATTTAAGAGTCATTTAGATAGGCATGTGAACTGGCAGACAATAGAAGGATATGGACCATGTACAGGCAGATGGGATTAGTTTAGAATAGCATTATGGTCAGCACAGACATGGTGGGCTGAAAGACCTGTTTCTGTGCTGTACTGTTCTATGTTCTAACACGCAGTACATGATACCTTAACATGTTTCTGTAGGTTTGTTTGGTTGTTTTTCAAAGAAACATGACTGTTTTCCCCCTCCCTATTTCTGGCAGGTTCCTATCCTTCTCCAAAGGCTGGCGCTACATTGGTTGTGTACAAAGACCTTCTGGTGTTGTTTGGAGGCTGGACCAGGCCAAGCCCCTATCCTCTACATCAACCTGAGAGGTTTTTTGATGAAATACATACTTACTCACCCTCCAAAAACTGGTAAAGATTTCATTATTGTTTAATGTGCTACTGTATGTGTGAGACTTCTTAGACCTGGAGCTTAATGAAAGAACTTGTGTTAAATATTGTTTTGAGAGAATGTACTTGTTTTACTGCTTTAAATGAATCTAGTAATCATGCAACTACAGAAAAATCTGTCCTGTCCGTCTAATTACAAGTGAGATCCACTGTGTGATGGCGCTGCTACTTTTGACTTAGTTGGCAAGTTTCCTTTTCTTGTTTGCTTTTTAAAATCCACCAGAAGTTGAAGCACCCTCCTAAGCCGAAGAAATATTAGAACTAAACACAAGTTCGTAGTGTTTCCCTGAAGCAAAAATAAATTGTTACACACCAGTGCATCTGGCGAGTCTTTCTGGAGCAAAAAGAATCAGTGTTAGCATATATGGAACATCTCACATGGCTAACTGTTGCATCTTCAGTCTTTCTAAGATGGGGCAGCTCTGGGTCATTTTCTAGGAAGGTCAGCCACCTTCCAGTTTCTCATAAAGTAGCCATTTTTCATGTGTCAGGCTGAATGGTAAATATTACCACACTGGTCTCTCGAGTTCACAAGAAACCGAGAGTTTTTAATCAACAGTTAACACCAGGGTTCACTTAATGTATAGAACGTAAACTGATTTTCTTATTAGCCTAGGTGCACATAATGTTATTGTATCTCTGGTTGAAATCAACTGGAGAAAATTGCTCTTAGTGTCCCCTTGCTGGAGTTTTGGATAATGCCTGAACATGTGGTTGGTTTGTGAAAATTTCCGTTCAGTAAATGTCTTCTCTTTCTCTTTCCCGCTAGGTGGAACTGTATTGTAACAACTCATGGACCTCCTCCAATGGCTGGTCACTCATCCTCTGTAATTGGAGATAAAATGATTGTATTTGGAGGATCATTAGGCTCTCGACAAATGTATGTATGTTTAGAGAGTTTGAGTAGAATTAGAAACTATTCAGTACTGAGGTTTTGCGATGAGACCAGTATTTTGATTGGCCCACCCTTTAAATGTGTCCCTTCTCATTCTTGGGGGTATTTTGGGGTCAATATGGGGGTTACCTACAATGTGTTTTGTCGCCTACAATGGGTCATCTAGTTTGTGTTCTGTTCAGATTGTTCCTTGGTTTCCAAAAATTGACTGCCAGAGTTTTCCAAGAGCTGCTTGACATGATCCACCTGATTTTTGATCTCACACATACTTCTCTGTGGAGTTGCCAAGCTTCAGTCTCAGTGGCACCACTGGGATTGGATTGCCATTGTGTGAGGAACTGCAAATATAATTTGTATCCAAGAGCTGCATATGAAGCATGAGATCATCAAAACGTCAGATGATAAGCCTTTTACAGAGCTAGTATTTCTGGTCAGCTTTTACAAGTTAATTTGTGCTGAGGGATCTGTTATCAGCTTTTACCAATCTAACTCTTGAGTGACCAGCTATCTCAACAATTAGAAATTGAAGCAGTAGATGGAATCCTGGTTAAGGTTAAAGGCACTTGCTGCCTGTCAGTACGTTTTCTCATTGATTAGATTCAGTAGCCTTGATTCAATTCAAATGCATACTGTGACCACTTTTATGTGTTATCTTGAAATTGTGCAGTAAACATTCAGGTCCACTATAGGTCACCTATGCATTATACTTTGTGCACATTCTGTCACAGTTTAAACTTCAGTGATCTTGTTTGATTGTTCTATTATTCTTGCTTTGCCTCATTATTACTTTATTTCTTCTTTTGATTTACTCATTTGTTGCTCTTCCTGTCTTCATCTTTGCATTATCTGCTAACCTACATTTTGTATTTCTGTCCTGCCTTGCGCTGTTCTAACTATTCAGGAGTAACGAGGTCTGGATACTGGATATGGAGCAATGGACTTGGTCCAAACCAGCGACATCGGGTAGCATGCCCCATCCAAGGGGTGGGCAGTCCCAGGTGAGAGGAAGAGAGAGGCCTGGTATTGATAATGCTTCTTGTTCAGTGTGTGCTACTTTTTTGTTGATGCTGTGAGAAATGTACATTTGAGATTCGATCTTTATTGGCATCATTCTAATTCAAATTTCTGTAGTTAATTGATAGGATATCAGAAGGTTATCTGAGGTTAAACATTTATCCAACCAAGGAACTGATTTTACCCGGGTGCTGTATATCTTAGGTTTATGTTTTATCCCAATATATAGAGTACTGTCCTATTTAGTTGTAAGATATTCCTTTTTCATCAGTTACGCAAGCTACTTTAAAGAAAATTTAAAGTATAGATGTGACAAGAGACGGTATTGTGAATCTACATGATACAATAGGGTAATTAAATGCTTATGTACAGGTAGCTTCATCAGGTCATCTGGTATCTATTTAACAGGTTCTAAAATGACGTTACCACAACCTCATCTTGGCCTAGTTTCACTTCCTTCCATTTCAGTAAGAATACCAAGAAAAGATTTGTTCTTTGTCACACTTAATTTCTTTAATTTTGTTTCATTTTATAGTTTTATCTTAACTTTATTCCCTTATATTTACTTTTCTTCTATTCTATTCATTATCTTATCTCCTTTTCACCACGTTACTTTTGATTCTCTTGTTCTTCCATGCCTCTTGTTTTCTCACCCATGTAGAATTAGAAAATCATTTCAAGGCACAGAGTAATACATGCTAGTAATGTGCAGGTTTAGCATGTGCCATCTTGTCTTCTCTTTAAAAAAAAATTCTAGGTACCAGTTACCTTTACTTTGAGATGTTATTGATAAATGGATTGATTGTTTTCTCTCCTCACCATGCCCATCCCAGTACAGCAGGAGTAGCTAAATGTTGGAAGTTGTCTGTTTTGGCTCCATAGCAGCATTCTCGTTTCTGAGCCAGAATGTTATGGATTTAAGTCTCACCTTGAGACTTGAACGCAAAATGTATGCTGTTACTTTGCTGCCATAATGAAGGAGTGCTGCATTGTAAGATATTCTGATTTTTTGGGTGAGGTGCTATCCTGGCCAATATTTTCCTTCAACCAAAATTACTGAAACAAAATATCAAGCCATTGCCTCATAGGATCTTGCTGTGCACAATAATTTGCTTCTTTCCCTGCATTATAAAGTGACACACTTCGTAAAGACTTAAAATGGCTGCAGAGCACTTTGAAATGTTCTGGGACTGTGAAAGGCAACATGAATTACAGATTGTTTGCCATGATTTTAAGTATATATGCCAAATATTTTTTGCTTAGATCCCTACAAAGTAAGAGAACTGTAATGCAAGGTGTACAATAGGAATATACCAATTAGGAGTGGGAGTAGGCCACACTGCACCTTAAGTCTCCTCCGCCGTTCAGTAAGGTCATGGTTGCCTATCAAGAATCTATCACCTCTGTCTTATAAATATTAAAAGATTCTGCTTCCAACACCTTTTGAAGAAGAGTTCTAAGGATTCATGACCTTTGGTCAGAAAACATGTCTTCCCATCTCTGTCTTAAATGGTGACCTCTTATTTTTGAACAGTGATCCATAGTTCTAGATTTCCTCTAGAGTAAATCTGTCTCACATCCACCCATCAAGATGCCTCAGGATCTTGTTCATTTCAATTAACATACCTCTTACTGTTCTAAACTCCAGCAGACCCAAGCCTGTCCTATGTAACTTTTCCTCATAAAACCATTTGCCCATTCCAGGTACCTGTCTACTCAGTCTTCTCTGAACTACTTCTGATGTATTTGCATCCTTCCTTAAATGAGCAGATCAGCACTGTACACAATCCTCCAGATGTGGTCTCACCAATGTCCTGTATGACTGAAGTACAACCTTCCTACATTTATATTCAACACCGCTCACAATAAAAGATAACATTGTTATCTTTCCTAATTACTTCTGTTCCTGCTGACTAACGTTTTACAATTCATGTGTTAGGATACCCAGATCTCACTGTATCTCAGAGCTCTGCAATCCCCAACAGTTTAGATATGGTTTTTAAAAAATTCTTCTTGCCAAAATGGACAGTTTCACATTTTCCCACGTTATACTCCATTTTCCACCTACGTAACCTATCTTTGACCCTTTGTAGCCGCCTTTATCCCTCTTCACAACTCACTTTCTTACCTATATTTATGTAATTACCAAATTTAGCAACCATATATTTAGTCCCTTCATCTTAGCTATTTATATAAATCGTAAAATATTGAGGCTCCAGCACTGATCCCTGCAGCATACCACTTGTTACTTCTTGCCAACCAGAATTTGACCTCTTTAACCTTACTCTATTCCCTGTTAGCCAGCCAGTTATCTAAGCATGCCAGTATGTTACCTCCTTGCTGGAATGACTTTTGATGTGGTACTTTGTTAATTGCCTTCTGGAATTACAAGTGTAGGACTTGCACAAGTTCCTCTTTATCCACAGCAGGTATTACTTAAAAGAACACCAATACATTGGTCAAACATGATTCTCCTTTCACAAATCTATGTTGATTCTGCCTGATTACCTTGAATTTTTCAAAATGCACTTCTGTAACATATTTAATAACTTATTAACATTTTCCCTGTGAGAGTTATTAAATGGTTTGGAGTTTGCTGCTTTCTGTCTCCATCCATTGTGAGTAAAGTTGTGTTCATTATATTTCAATCGAATGAAACTATCCCCAAATTTAGGGAATTTGGATAAATTAAAACTAATGCATCAACTATCTCTCTAGCCTCTTCTTTTACTACTCTATGGTGAAATCCATCAGAATCTGAGGCCTTGTCAAACTGCGCTTCCAACAGTTTGCTCAGTACTACTTCTCTGATGTTTGTAATTTTCTTGAGTTCCTTCTTCTCTTCCATTTCCTGATTTACAGCTAATTTGGGGATGTTACTTATAACCTCTATAGTGAAGGCTAATGCAGAACACCTGTTCAATTCATCTGACATCTTCTATTCTCTACCTTTTCTGTTGGACTGATGCTCACTTTGTTAAAAAAGAAAGGAGATAACAGTCTAAAGAAGTTACTACTGTACATTTTTTATATTTCTGGCTAGCTTTCTTTCTCCATTTTCTTATAAATCTTTTGATCATTCTTTGCTTTTTTTTTAGTTTCTGCCCAAACTTTTGACCATCCACCAATCATGCACAATTATATGCTTTTACATTTTGAAAACTATACTGTTTATAATATTTTTAATTACTTTAGTTAATCATGGGTCCACTCCTTATAACTTTTGTTTCTCTTTGGAATGTATCTTATCTGTGTATTCTGAAATATCCCTTAAATATTTGCCACTGTACTTCCATTGACTCCAGTGGCTTGGGTAACAATCCAGAAATCATTACTTTAGAGTTTCTGCTTTATTTGGTGCCTAGCTCATCATAGTATGCAGAAGCTCTTTCATTCTCCTGTTTATATTGTTGGTATATACATGGACCAAAACACATGGATCCTCCCTCTCCCACAATAAATTCCTCTCAAGCCCTGAGCAGGTATCCTGAACCCTGGCAATTGGCAGATTCTGAAGCCTTCTAGACACTTGCTCCTTGATGTAGAGATCTGTGTCAATCCCCCTTATCATATTGTCCCCTGATGTCACAGTATCCCTTTTTGCCCTCCCATTTAGAACAATTTCCTTTACAGTAGTGCCATGGTCAATTAGCTCATTTACCCTGCAGCTCCCATATCTGGACAAGCTGAAAAGAAATACACAAAACTATTGGTCAGTTGCAAAGCCTGTGGTTCCTACACTCCTGTCTTGATTTCCTTACCTGCCTTGGCTGCAGCCACACTCCCCTGTGCTTGATTATTGATCAAATCATAATATTCTGTACCTCCTGGTGCAAAACATCCAGTTAGCGTCCTCCTTTCCTGCTGTGTTGCTTCATCTGCAACATGGCCTCCAGCTTATCAAATCTGAGGTGAAGGTCCTTGAGCTGCAAACATATATTGCAGATGTGACTGCCCTGAATCATATTGATATCGAAGAGATTTCAAATGCCATAACCATGGTACATCACAGGTCCTGCCATCCTTACTGGATTCTAATTAACTGAATGATTTTTTACAGTTATGTCTTTACCAATTTTCATATACTTTGCTAGTCTTACCGCTAACAACTGTGGTAATTTACACTTTATGAATTTAATAGACCATAACACCTACCAGATACTCACCAAACAGCTAACGTCTTTCCCCGTAGTACAGTAAGAACCAATTCTTAGTGTGAAAAAATGGAAAAAGCAAAGAAGCACCTCCTCGCCCTAACTCCCTTGCTCATCGAGCTCCCAGCACTGAGATACCAGTACTTACATGCTCTGAGTTAGCTCAGCACCAGGTACAAAGAAACCAGTTTAAGGTAATTTCTTTAATTAGCTAACTTTAGTTGCACACCCTATGAGAGCTTGAGATATTTCTGCTTAAGCCTGGTTGAAATTTAGAATTTAAACAGTAAATTTCAGTAAGAAAAGTTTAAGCTTACTAGTCCACCTCTGTTCAAAATCATACAGTATCTTATTGACTTGCAATGGGACACCGTTTTATCTTTGATTTAATGGGTCAATTTGTTCACACTATGAAATGTGTCCTATATTTTAACAGTAACTTTAGAGAGGAGCTGTCAAGAGCAAATAATTAATGTAACTTCTCTGTAGTTTAAAATGGACAATGGCCTTAATTTACCAAAGAGAGGTTTTAACTTTTATCCAGATTATTATTGATCATGAAACTATCCTGATCCTGGGAGGCTGCGGAGGACCCAATGCAGTGAGTATCTGTATCATTTTGCTGGATTGAGGCATTTTCTCTCTACTTACCGCTCCTAGAGCTTGGGCTAGGAATGTGATGAGGTTTACAAATATTGGTGTGTAGAAATTAGGAAAGTAGCCTTTAAGAACCTAACTTAAACCTTTCAAGTGCTTTCTGCCTTTAATATGTTTGGAAATTCAGTAATAAGCAAATTTTGAATGGGTCAATACTTTTTGACAAATTGATATGCTGAGGCTATATTTCCACATAATTTAAAGTCATACTACTAATTCTGATTTTTAGTTTAGCTTGGAGAGCCCAGTAGTTAAACCATTGTTTTAAAGGTTGCATGAAAATAAATTTTGCCAAAAATAAACACCAGTGGAATGAGGCAATAATCTTAATTGCAGCCTCCTGGTTTTTAAACCAGGCAGGAAAACACAACGGCGTTTCATCAGAGGTTGCACTGATGATGTTACCCAGCAGGGTAACGAAACGTCTGCGGAACAACAAAGAAAGCCATTGACTAAATTGTAAATCTAGTGGCCCCAGCGTTACGCTTAGTCGCTTTCCAGTTCTATGTTGTCTGCATTTAATGAATGACAGTATGACAGCTTATTGATGGCTTAGTTTGGGCTCTGTTGGACTTTGTAGGAATTTAGAGAATAAACTACTGTACTGTATCCTACATAAGATGCGTACATAGAATTGTACGCGTTCAACTTCTGTAGATGTAAGAGGTATATCTCGGTTACATGGAGGAACTGTACCAAATTTAAAATGTTACATTTCAGTACTTTATGGAGATAAACATCAACCTGGTAGACTTCTCCCAACTGTAGTAGATTGGGCTGAGGGTAGTACGTGCTGTGTGTTAATTAATTGCTGATTGGGTCCAGACTACTAAATAACGATGTCAGCATGCTTTTTCTGTATATGTTAAAACTTGTTGAATTGCTGTTCTGAAACAGCTGTTTAAGGATGCCTGGCTGCTACACATGAACAGCACACCTTGGACGTGGCAACAGCTAAAAGTGGAGAATGAGGAGCATGGGGCACCGGAGCTGTGGTGTCATCCAGCCTGTAGGGTAAGTCTTCACAAGTTTTGATTTAAACATGGAAATGCGATGACTTAACTTGTTAACCTCAAGACTAACTGAGAATAGACTAAAACATTCTGGGTTTGATTTATGCTGATTTAGTTGACTTTTCCTGGGTTGATTGATATAGTTGACTGCTGTTCTGGGTTAAAAAAGGGCACATTAGCCAGGGTCTTTGATTACCTTGCATAAACCCTACCAAAGTACACATACTTCAGTGTTGATGGTCTTGATGCAAGATGCAGCTGTGGTTGAATAACACACAAATACTGACTGTCCAGGCTCTTGGATAATGTACTGAAGAGTAACTGACATTTGTGCTGCTGTGCCACAGCCAGATGTTAGCACCTTCAGCGCAGGGTGGAAATACTGGTGCATTGAAAAATGGAACAGAATCTAACAAGGTCAGTGTTTCGAATTCTTTTGGCTTGTTTAGGGCTTTGCAGCTTATTCCATAAAACCACTTTTTTTTATTGGAGCTATTTACCATTTTATCATCTGTGGGTAGAGAAAAGTCTTCTGAAAAGTCTTGTTATACCTGACATGTTAATTCTACTTCTTGCTGCACAAATGCTGAGCTTCTCAAACACCTACTGCGTTTCTCCAGCTCTTTTTTTATTTCAGATCTCAAGAATCGCAGTATTTTGCTTTTATTTTACCCATCTATCATTGTTCTTTTTAAGAGATCAGAGATTGACCTGTCCCTTAATGAAAATCCAATCACAGCAAAACCTTCCACATCTGATTAAGGTCAATCTCTATATACACATTAATGCACCCAACAATTAAACATATTTTCTTTCCATGAATTACAGTCATTCTGTAAGCTCTGGAGTGAGGACAGTTAGTACACTTTACAGGTTGGTCAATTGGTTGTACTTGGGGTACTAGTAAAACCACACTTAGATTGTTTCTTTAGTTCCTCAGAGTAATTTGGTTTCTCTCGCATTTTGTTTCTTTTTATAATTCATAATTTGGTCCATGAGTTTGACGTTAAAGAGCAACCTCCACTCTTTGCTGTTGCTGCGCTAGTAGTGCACTGGAAACAGCTTTTATTGAATGAAATTCTTAAATCATTAAGTCCCGAAGTACCATTTGGCAGCATTGGAAGTTTTTCTGTGTGCTAAATGGAGACATGATTCTGAGCTAAGGGAAACTGAACTAAAAGAAAGTGACTGCTCACAATTACTATTAAATTATATCCACTGCAGTGAACGTGGACTTCTTTGAGCAGATTACACTGATTAAAATAACTTAAGGATTGAATTAAATATACTTTCACCCAGCACAGTGGAAATGGATTTAATTGAATACACTACCACCCAACACCAAGCTGCAGAGGACACTAAGGTGCTCATACAAGAAAGGGATTCAAATCATTTTCAGAAAATTTAACCCATTCTCAGAAGAAATGGCCTTACTTCAGCTCATTAGTCTTGTATAATCCTTTATTTGAGGAAGGCAAAGCAGGTTGTTATATTCATGTAAAAAGAAATGTTGTTTAACAGGTGGTATTAAAATATTGCTAGTGATTGTGGTTAACTAAGCTTTCTGATTTAATTTCTAGGTTGGACAGTGTGTGGTAGTGTTCAGCCAAGCACCCAGTGGTCGAGCCCCTCTTAGTCCCAGCTTACATTCGCGCCCATCTCCTATCAGTGCCACACCACCAGCGCTTGGTGCAGAAATGAGAGAACATCGATCACAGTCCCCAGTACGGAGTACTGATGAAGTTCCGTGTGTAAATGGACGCTGGGGTACGTTGCGGCCAAGGACGCATAGGCCAACAACAGCTGGTTCTCGGGAAGGCAGCCTATCTCCAGCCAAAGGAGAAAGGTCACCAGTTTTAAACGGTGGAACGTTATCCCCAGGATCCTTAGCTGGCTCTTTGGACAGTCCAGTGCAGCCAGGATCCCCTGTCACATCAGCTGTGGTGGAGGGTTATGATCTTCGAGGACTTCCACACGTCACTAGGCAAAGCACACCAGCGGAACAGAAGGTAGATTCAGGATTAGATCCATATAGGTCTCAGGACTCTGTAAATTGGGACTCAAAAGCCTCTTCCAGCAACAACCTTGGAGAAGATGGGAATAGGACAAGTCCAGGAACTGAGATTAATCTTGGGAATGCTCCAGAGCAGACAAATGGAATTCACACACCACCTCATGTGGCAAACGCTCCTCCAGGCCCAGTATCTCCAGGAGCACTCCGAAGAGGGCTGGAAGCTGTGAAGGATTTCTTACCACAAAGTTCATCATCTGTTGTTTCAGCTAGCGGAAGTTCAGCTCCTTTATCTGTAATGCCAGGAAACCATGGTCAAAGTTCAAACAGTACTGATGTACCGCTTCGCTCTGCACCTGCCCAGGCAGATGGACATACACTGCCACCTATTGCACGCCGGTTAGGCCACCACCCACCTCAGTCTCTCAATGTAGGAAAGCCCTTGTACCAGAGCATGAACTGCAAGCCAATGCAAATGTATGTGTTGGATATAAAGGATGCAAAGGAAAAGGGAAAAGTCAGTTGGAAAATGTTCAACAGTGGCTCAGTTGTAGGCCCACCAGAAACCAGCCTCCACACAGTGGTGCAAGGTCGGGGAGAGTTGATCATTTTTGGGGGGCTGATGGACAAGAAACAGAATGTGAAGTACTATCCAAAAACCAATGCATTGTATTTTGTGCGAGCTAAGAGATAATGCACCACCTCAAGGTATTTCACATTACCTGATGCACACCCATAAGCTGTGAATTCAAAAAAAACATTCATCTGTAAAACTACATTGGAAATGGCTTAAAATTTGCTTGTTAAAAACACAAATTTTACTCCATTCCAGTGAGTTTGTTACATTTGGACTGATTTGTCTTAATTTGATTCTCGCTATGTTCTCAAAAGCTTCTGCTGCCTTCAATACTGACCGGAAAGGAAATAGCATCTGAATATTTCCACCATTGCAGTAACTCGTATGTGGTATGCTACAGGTTAGCAAATGTGCTTTAGCTAGGTGAGATCTTACTATAAACAAACGCAAGTGCATTGATAATGGCACAATGAGTCTGCAGGAGTCTGCGATGCCTTGTTTGAAGTTGCAGCTTATCTATAGGAGCTGATGCCCCCTTTGTTGAAATGGGGTATTTTTGCGATTCAGTATTTTGGTCGCAACCTTCAATCTGCTCAGTGGACAATTCTTTAAGAGATCAGCTAACTGACATAAACCAAACACTCCAAAAATTGCACATGCTGACTCCAAAGCCAGTTGAGTTAAAGCATATGTTCTGGTCAATGAAAGGTGCCGTACAGAGTTTAACCTCTTCCTTTCCTGCAGTTTATAAACTAATTTATTTTTAAAGAGAAACGTAGCAGCTAATGTATTGAAAAAGAGAAGTATAGGTGTGGAAAGAATTGGTACTTGTCACAGTACCTGTCCCATTGTGGATTGGGGCACTCACTGCTGGAATATGCCTGTCCAGCTGTGGAATGGGGCACTCCGTCTTCAGTCTACTGCTTATCTGTGGGAGGGAGCACTCACTACATGGATCCCATTGTGGAAGGAGGATCTACGTAATCAGCGTACTTGTCATATTGTTAGCGGGGGCAAGTAACAAAGGAATGTAGAGATGCTTGAGATATAAGCCCATAACTGCCTCAAGTCTTTTGTTGCCCAGGTGGTAAAGCCAGATTGAGTCGATTCAAATGAAGAGAGCCTGTTTGTTGATGCATGCAGGCTGACTCTGGTAGTAATCAGTCGGATTGTATTTCAGCAACCTTGTGCTAGATTAAATTCTGTCTGTTGTCTGAATTGGAAATCTGACTCTCATTTTAGTCCAGACACAATTGGTAGCTGGCCTTAATTTATATTTTAATGGATATATCAAGGAGCTAGTTGATACAGCTACCTTGATTTAATTGAGAACATCACACATCACACTGCCTTCAGTTATCTATTTTTGATGACGAAAGGAACTTGTTAGGAGACATTTGAAGGTTTTCTGGTATTTTTGCTTTATAAAGTTGATATTTTTCTGCCTGTTCCAGTCAATTAAGCCCATTTAATTGATGCCCTTGTTTGTCAATTGTGTAGAGGTGTCCAATTAACCATAAACTTTATCCTGTTTTAATTAAATACATTTTCTTAGCGTTTCTTGCAATGACAAATTTATCATTTGACTTGGAGTTTATCAGTAGTAGTTGTCTAACCTTGATTTCAAGGCTAAGATCAGAACGAAGTTGCTGAGGAAAATGGCTACCAAGCTGCAGTCTTGCAATTGGGAAATTTTCCTGCACTATTTAGCTTGATTATCCATTGGTTTTTTGCTAAATTTTTCAGTCTTGCAGAAGACAGTATAATTTGCTGTTATTTTGTGTGAGCGCCACCTCCCTCCAGTGATGCCTTTGCATTTACTCATCTCTGTTATGCCAAGGGGAGGTGATGAGCTCTGCAGTTTGCTGCACCCTCAGGTCCCAGTATCTCATGTAGTTCCCTGGGTGACTGCCATGGAGAGACTGATGAAGGGAAACAACCACAGAACAGTGTTAATCTACATCTAAATTCATCTTTTCAATTATTTTGTGGCTGCCAGGACAATCTTAACTCATAATATTTGTTTGCCCTCTTTCTCAATTGACAGTAAGAAGAGAGCTAATAGCATTGAACCCCAGCTCTGGCTATATACAACATCAAGCAGGCTGAGGTTTAAGCCCCATTGCCACATGGAGCAGGAGCTGTGTTTAATGCTGAAGGTGTAAGAAAGGCAAGTGTGAGCAGATTCCATGTATTATGAGTGTTAGTGCCCTGGAAAATGGAACAACTTGTAGTGTAATATGCTGCTTTGTACCATAACTTGCTTAATTGTTCACATCTAACAAACTGACGATCACAAAGAATGGAGAATTTTCAGAGATATAGCGCAAGTGCAGTAGAATGAAAAATTTGCACCTTTCAAAACACATGGCAGTAGATACTGGCCCCAGATAATAGTTGTCTTTGCATTTAACAACCAACAGTCACCAAGTTGTAACTATCAAATTGGAACTTAGGAAGTCATCCTGAATTTTGTTGGATGGTTGTGTTTTTTATTTACTAATATGTATCCATGTGGCCACATAAAATTTACCTAAACACTGGAAAGTAGAGGAACTACTTCTCTGGCCCTATGCACATATATAAGGGATGAATATACATGGCAGTGAATGGATACAACAAAATATATTTAAACCTACTCCATCAGATGTCTTTGTAAATGCAGTGGTTTGGACTTCAGTAACAAAGTGTATCTTTTAATATGTGTAACATTTTGTATAATGTGACACAGCCTGGCCGATTTTTATGCTGTTTTGGTTTCTCTACAGATGCCAGATCCATAAAAATGCAGTTTGGTGGGTTAAATTGTTGACAGTTGCGCCTCGAACCAGAGAATCATGCAGTCCCTGAGCACATAAGGAAGTCACGCTGGAGCAATGTGAATTTGTCATGGAGTTCTGAATGAATGCTGTGAGGTTAGATTCTGTCAGATTCAGTTGAGCGTATGCAGTGGTGCACTGCTACCCAGGGCTTACAAATGTGTTGAAGGCAGTAACGGGGCTTTAAGTTGCACACATATGGTCCCTTTGCCAGACCTGCTGCTTTGATCTATTTTCTCCAGGTTTTAGTTAATATAAGGATGAACTAAAATGCTGCTCAAATTTCGAATCAAGTAAATGTAACTGGTGAAAAACGTTTCACTTTTTGATGTGCTCCAGGTATATGACAAGACTGTTGGGTATGTAGGTACTTATCTGGTGTATCCTTTTCCCACCACCGTTCATTGAATTCATGCCCTGATTTGATGAGGTTTGTGGTGCAGATGTATTTTGTATTTGTGATATTTCTCCAAGTAAAACCACAGCTGTGGTGCTATTTATGTCAGCCTCTTTCCTAATCACTTAATCATACTATTGATTCACAAAATCACAGTGATGTTAAATTCTATGCAATATTTTCATCCCCAAAATTTGGCTATTCAAATCTGGTTCCAGCTTATCCTTCCACTGATTCTAACCTGCCTGGATTATTGCAGTCATGTGTCAGTTTTCTGTCTAGCTTCCTGAGGGAGAAGGTAAGCATATGGTGTCTTTGCAGTTGACATTGCTGAAAGATGATAAGTCTGGCGGTGGATATTTAGGAACAGTCAACCTTCTGTACCTGACTCAGTAATTTGATATCTAAAACATCTCGAACCATAGTACTCAAGGACATTGTTGATTGACAGCTAATCTCACCAAGTGACTTAATGGGGTGAATATTTATGGGACTTTGGTTTGTTCCCACTGATGGTCAGAAAACTCAAATGGACAGAGTAGTTCTGTACAAAATAATGGGAAGCTCACCAGTAATCCATGTTTGAGAGTTGTGTGATTTAAGCTGATTATGTACCAATAGGTATCCCCTTGTACACTTGAAAGTCCTTAAACTTTTGCTCTGCCAATGTGTGCCTAAGTTCTTAATCAATAGATGAAGTGTGTTTCTATGGGAAATGTGTTTGGTTAAACACAGCCATTTGACAAGTGTATCCTGCTTCAGAGTTTCAAATATAATGTTTCTCTGTGGCAGACATCTGATTGTACAGTCTTCTATTGGTATCCTTGTTACAGATATAGAGAGGAATGGCTGTGTATGTCCTAAAACGTCTGGATGGCCTGATTTCAAAATGGTAAAAATGCATGACCAATGAACCAATTATATTTAACACAATGTCCACATTTTTGGCTGTGTTTTCTCCTTAGCTGCTAGCATCCGATCTGATGATTTCACATTCAGCTTTTGCAAAACTTGATGTCAAATACAATCTTGTACAAACAGTTTCACACACAAAGGTGGGGGAAGTGTGACACGTAAAGCCTGTAAACTCTTTATTCATTGCCTATTTAAAATACCATCAAATGTTCTGTTTATTGATGTATTTAAGAGAAATTAAGGGCCAGTTTGTTTCCTTTTCCTCTGCCAGTTTCAATCGGACTACATTTTCACAGGGTGTGGATTTATTTTACTGCAGTTTTTACTTCTCTTTTTCCCCTTAGTCTTACATTTAAAGATGGAAAAGTGGACCAGTTTCCATTCTGACCATCTAGCTTACAGGTCATGTCAGCCCAGGCACCTCTATGTTTTCCCATGATCAAAAGAAGGCTCAATTTTCACGACTAAATTCAGGATCTGGATTCTCTGGTATTGTTGACTTTGTTTATTTTTGTGTTGAATAGTGCTTGCTTGGAATAGTTAAACCCATTTCATGAAGGGCTTTCACAGTCACCAGATTTTTGGGAAGATATTTCATATTAAGTCTTAAGGTTAGGTCAGTGATTGGGTGACACACAGGGTGAATCTCCCTCCACATTTATTTCAAAATGTAAGGTTTAGTATTCAAAAAAAATTTAGGAAGGAATAAATTTGCACTTAAATTGCTCAATTTCCTGTAACACTTCATATCTGTAAAAAATACTTCGGAAATTCAGTTGTTATGTAAGGAATGATAATTTGCATACAACAACGTCCCATAATTTTGTAGTTGAAACAAATCACCAATTACTTTTTGGTGGTTATTGAGGGATGACTGTTGGTCTGAACACTGAGAAATGTCCTCTTGGAATTGTGCTGTGGAATCTTTAACATGCACCTAAAAAGGCAAACCTGGTCTTGCAGCTCTGATGGAGCAGGCATTACTGCATTAGAGAGTCAACCTATTATGCTCAAGGCCTGATTAAATAACAAATTTAGAATGTTCAGTGTACTGGGAGCTGAGACCAGGTGCGTTTTTTTAAACTCTTGTTATCTATTTTGTGCTTCAAACAAGTTTATGCAGTATTAGAAATGATAAAATTCAGGGGAAATGGGAATGTAACTTCAAAAGGTTCCTTCTTACTGATTGTATTTACTTCTGGGTTGCCAAATATTAGGGTGGTCCCTGGCAGCAACAAGTTGTTAATTCTTCTGTTTGAACTGAGGAAATTTGTTTTGCTTTCAATTTTCTCACGCCCTTGGACGTTTTTGTCCTGTCACTATATTAAATGATTTTTTTATTCCTGCTCAGAGCTGCAGCTGGCTATTTGAGTAGAAATTCTGCACCTGCTATGGGCAAATCACTGTTTCATTCTCCCTGTAGAATGTTTGTGTAAGCATGAATTGTAGAATTAATCTGGAAGGAGGGAATCTGGGATTGCAGCAAACTGAGCCAGGACAGGTTTCCAACAAAGCCAGGTCATGAGGCTTGATTCACAGTCTGCTGCTGCCACCTACAGAAATGTAAAGATACAAACATTTTTCGTGCAGCAGTGAGAAACCTTTTACTGGATTTTTTTTTGAACTGTGCTACTGCTGCAGTTAGCCGCAGATCTCTGACTCTTTCTATGTTTTCCTAGCTGCTTCCTTTAAATCCAGCACTAAAGTGACAAGTTTGATGAACAGCAATATCTTCAATGCTGAAACAAGAACAAGGCTCTCCATAGATTCTGAAAATCTGAAATACAGTAATTGCTGGAAAAGCTTGGCAGATCTACAGTATCTGTGGAGAGAAGCAGAATTAACATTTCAGGTTCATGACTTTTTAACATAATACTGTCTAGTCTTTTCAAACAGTTTAATTAATTTGTCATCTTGAGATTCCCTCCTCTTTACCCCACACCCCGCCCCCCAACTCCATATATTGGCAGACACTAGAGCAATGCCTAGGTAGAAACCTGACACATTGATTATTTTTACAAAATGGCATACATTTTAAAACAACAATTGATATTCTGTACTCTTCTATTAAGACTCCAAATTTGAAATCTTGAGTTTTTTCCAGTGGAAGGAGAAAGTTGAAAAATTATCTGAACAAATTATAACAACAGTCAATTTAGTGAGAATCAATGGAATTTTGTAAACCTTGCTTTTATGCTGAAATTACTGTTGTCATGAATACAGATGATTGAACCAGTTTTGGGAAGCTATACTTAAACCAGGTTTCTCCCCATCAGAATAACTTCTGTTTATATCAGAAGCTTTCTGCTCTAATACAGTGGTCTTGTGTGAACTCTGCACAGCATTCCGACACAGATGCAACAATAGTTTGTTAATGGGCTGAGCAGGTCTGTTGCCTGAGTCCATGATTTAGAGTGCAATGGAGGTGTTTTGTAAAACTGAACCAACCTTTAATAAAAAATACATTGTTTAAAAAAAGAATGGAATCCTTATTGCTGCTAAATAGAGTCCTGATATGATCGTGCAGTCTTAATGTTAATTGCATCTGAACTACAAGGGTTCCAATTTAAATTCTTCGTCTATTTTATGTTAACTGATTTTTGACAGGTTAGAAAATGACAGTATCAACAGTGACGTGAAAAGGGACATCCACTGCAATTTTACTCCTGTTGTCATGCCATATCCTCTATTGAAAAATGCAGAAGTTTGCATACCCTTCAAATAGCCTGCTAACACACATTATCTAGACTGACGCATAATTACTTGGGTAAGTTACTGAAGGATGCATAGTTCTCATAGATCCTGTACCCATCAATTGTCAACATTGGAAAGAAGAGTGAAAAAGCATCAGTGAAATTTAGCAGGTAGATGTCTACCTTGTGATTACCTGCCACGGATAGCTAAATAAAAAGATGGATATAATGGCAGCTGACTGAATATTACTGTTGGGCATGATCCTTCACCTCTCACAACATTTATGTTTATTTTGCATTCTACTCCAGTTTTTCCCCAGTCACCAAGTTTTCCAACATGATTGTTGAAGCTTGACTAAAATTGTAAAAAAACCTTGGAGAGTGTAAGGAGTTTGAATCCCTTTTATATTGAGGCAAGTTGAGAAGCTGCTTGATGTAACCTCAGCCATCAGATGGCATACTGTATTTCGCAGAGTACAATTGTGATGTTCTATAATGTGCATGGCTGAAATAACTGGAGCCTTTTCCCAGAAAGTCAGATTTTCTTGAGCTGATGCTTAGAACAGCAGTATTGTTCAATGAATTGTTCAACCCCACCAAAGCTTTATACAAGCAACATGATTTTGATAGTTCTAATTTGAGATTTCATCGATTGCATCTTTACCATTCCAGTATAAGGAGTGGTCTGGGGGGGAAATCTCAAATCTGTTGAATACTTTAAGCTTTTTCTTCATTAGCGAAATAGGTGGAAAGATATCGGAGACCGGAGAAGTTATATTTCCATGGTCCTAAGGAGAGGAGATGAATGCTGGAGATCAATAATAACAATAACCCATTTTCACAACACTTGATGGAAGTAGCCCAGGCAACTAAATGCTAGTTAACATGTGACAAGAAACATTTTGTGATCTTTAACAAAGATAAAGTTACTAATTGTTGCCTCCATTATTTCTTTGCCCACTTCTGGGGTTATTTGGTGTGTCCATCAGCTCTCAGCACCTTTTTCAGATTAACAAAATTCTCTGATACGTGCCTTATATTTTTGATAATATAATCTTTTAACCAATTCACTGTATCTCCATCTGAGTATTCTCTTTTCAAGAAAAGAAATTAAGTCTAGTTACCAATCTCAATTTCATCTTTATAATTTACCCCCTTAGGAATAGGAGGATAAGGCTGGGATAGATAGGCTTTTGAACTTGGGAATAAAGGGATTTGTGGAGAAAAGGGATTTGTGGAGAAAATGGATTTGTGACAGAACATCATCCATGATGGAGCAGTCTTGAGGGGCCATATTGACTATTCCAGTTCCTATTTCTTATGTTCCCATCTTACACTTAAAAGTTCTCTTTTCACTGATAAATTTATAGAACACTTGTTTTGAGCTTCTGTTCTCATATTATCTTGTTTTGCAAGACTCTTTACCAAGAAAATAGACAATGGCAGAAATACGAAAATAAACAAGAATAGATGGCTGAATGCAATGATATTGAACTGAAAGTCTGACATGAACATTTATCTTGATGTTCAGTTTTTAATGTAGCTTCCCTGACTCATTTTTAGCAAACTAACAGTTGCTGTAGTGCCTCCTGAATAATACTTAACTGCAGCAACAGTGCACCAGTGGTGGATGTTGAATTTGGTGACTGGGACATTGCTCAAGTAAGAGTTTTATCCTCGATGGTGTTGAGCCCTGCAGGTAAATGACTATTCCATTACACTCCTGATTTAAATACTGTGCATGGTGAAGAGACTTTGAAAGGGTCAGGAAGTGTTAACTAATTACTGAATATCCAGTCTCTGCCCTTTAGCTGCAGGGCCAATCCTCTGGTCCATTTAAATTTCAAATGAGATATCCAAGTCCTGACAACCAAATAAAATAAATCCATTTAATTTGTTTGTTCTTTGGTGATTAATTTTAAATTCATGCTCTGAAGTTACTGACTCACCAACCAATGGAATAGTCCAACTTACCTTACAGATGTTCAAAATTGGTGACTTCATATTAAGTGATTTCATAATGTCAATATGCCAGAGAAAAAAAATCCTCAACTTGTCTTGCCTCTAACTATATCTAAAACCCACAATCTTTTATACCATAGCTATTTTCTGTATTCTCTGCACAATATTTTTAACTTGCCTAACCAGGCACTCAAAATTATATAAGGTGTTCTAACATTTTATTATTCAATCATGGGATGTATGCTTGCCAAATGGGCCAGCATTTATTGTCCATTCCTGATTGCCCTTGAGAAGGTGGTGGTAAGCTGCCTTTTTGAACCTCTGCATTTCATGTGCTGTATGTAGATCCACAACCATTCAGGAGGGAATTCCAGGATTTTGACCCAGTGACAGTGAAAGAATATTGATATGTTTCCAAGTCAGGATAGTGAATTGTTTGGAGGTGAATTTGCAGGTAATGGTGTTCCCATGTATCTGCTGCTTTGTCCTTCTAGATGGAAGTAGTCATGGGTTTGGAAGGTGCTGTTTCAGGATCTTTGAATTCTGCAGCGTACTTTGTAGATGGTACACACTGCTGCTACTGAACATTGGTGTTGGCAGAGTGAGTGGATGCTTGTGGATGTTCCAAATCAAGTGTGCTGCTTTATCCTGAATGGTATTGAGCTTCTGAAGTGTTACTGGAGCTGCACCCATCCAGGCAAATGAGGAGTATTCCATCACACTCCTAACTTGGAGCTTGGAGTTGAGTTACTCAGTGCAGCATTCCTAGCCACTGGCCTGCACCTGTAGCAACTGCAATTATATAGTGAATCCAGTTGAGTTTCTGGTCAATGGTTAAACCACCTCCCAGGATGTTGAAAGTGGGGCACCTTAGTGATGGGAATGACATTGAATGTCATGGGGCGGTGGCTTGTCTCCTACTGGAGATGTTCATTGCCTGGCATTTGTGTAGCAACTGAAATCAAAAACTCAAGAGGCTGAAAAACCAAATGGTATGAAGAGTTGTAGCCAAAGTTACTGCAAAGGCTACTAAACACACCAGTATAAATGAGTTTGAGAGGTCTTTCTGTGACTACTGTTCCAGGCCATTAAACTATCTGTGCAAGAGATCAACAAAAATCTACAAACTCAAGAATCAATTAGACTGCATCTTTAGGATGACAAGGCCACAGTTGCTCTGCAGCAGGTTGACATTGTTGGTTAAACACAGTGGCAACACCAGATGATACTATGAAGCGTGCCTCATTGAAGGAAGGCAAATTCTTTGAGACAGCTAAGAGAATGTACAACTGGAGCATATTCAGTGATTTGTAGGGTTTTAGCTTTAGCTGTGTTTCACTAGTTGATACATCGATTTATAAAAGGTTTTGAGCACATCCTGATACTGAGGATTTTTACAAAATATTACAGAATAATAAGAAATAAAGGTATACATATGGAAACCAAAATCAGAAAATGGCAGTGTGTCTTTTAGCATTTGGTTAAAGACAAAAAGGACTTGAGCTTTCATTAAGCTGCATGCTGCATTTTCTAAAAATAATTTAATACATCGCCTCACAGGAAATATTGTCAAGCAGAAATCTTATCATATGATTTGTTGGTTAAATGTATATCCAATGATTGTCCAATGACCTAGATCAAAACTTCCCAGTTTTTCAGTACCTGGCCTCTGAGTTGCCAATTTGGCACTTATGGTGTTACAATTGATAGTTTCTGTAAGGAAGAAGCAATGCCTGCAGCCAGGGTATTTCCCTGCCATCTTTTGGCAAGTGCTATTCAAACCTCAATAATCTGTTGATAGTAACTGTTGACACTTGTTATGTCAGGTATCAAAGGGGCAGATCCCATTTCATCAACAATGATCATAATGAATGGTGGATCAGGCTCAAAGGGCCAAATGGTCTACTTTTGCTGCTATTTTCTATGAAGGGGGAGAAAACATAAAAACAGCAATAAATTGTGATAGGATAAGTAGTGACCGCTCATAACCAGCATTGCACTGGTCAGTGAGACATTAACAAGAAGCGCAAGTTATAAATAATTACAAAAAAAAGTCAGGGAGATGTGAAAAAATCCCTTACGTAACTCTAGACTTCTGCCACAAACAGCAGTTAAGGCAAAGTCCATGAACTTGTTTCAATGGGAATTAAAGATGTTTGGAAAAAGAATATCAAAGTTATGGGAATCAAACAAATCACCGATTAGACTTAGTTCAGGCAGAAAAAGTTCAGTGGAGACTTTTATTTGTTCAGAGGATGTGGACGTCATGGGGTAGGCAGCATTATTGCCTGTTAGTAATTGTCATTGAGAAGGTGATAATGAACCAACTTTTTGAACTACAGTTCATGTGGTGGAGATGCAGCAATAGCGCTGTCAGGGCATTCTGGGTTTTTGACCTAGCAACAGTGAAGGAACTACAATGTAATTCCATGTCAGGATGGTGTGTTGCTTGGAGGGGAACTTGCAGGTGGTTGCGCTCCAGGCATCAGCTGATTTTGTCCTTCTATGTGGTACAGGTTCAGATTTGAAGATTGTGTTGAAAGGGCCCTGGTGAGTTGCTGCAATGAATCTAGTAGATGGTGCACATTGATCCAACTGTGCATCAGTGGTGAAGGGAGTGAATGTTGAAGGTAAGGAATGGGGAGCCAATTAAATCGCTTGCTTTGTCCTGGAAGATTATGAGCTTTGTGTATTGGAGCTGAGTTCATCCAGGCAAGGGAGGAGTGTTCCATCACATTTCTTGATTTGTGCCTTCTGGACAGGCTTGGAGAATTAGGAGATAATTTACTCGTTACAGAATTCCTATCCTCTGACCTGCTTTTGTAGCCATTGTATTTAAGTGACTAGTCCAGTTCAGTTTTCAGCAAGTTGTAACCTTGGAAAGTTGATTGGGGATTTAGTGATCGTAATGTCAAAGGCAGGTATTTAGATTCTTTTGTCGGAGATATTCATTGCCTGGCAGTTGAATGGTATGAATGTAACTTGTTTCCTGATCAGCCTAAGCCTGAATATTATCCATTTTTTGATGCATATGGACAGTAACTGAGGAGACACAAATGGTTCTGAACATTGTGCAATAGTCAGCAAACATCCCCACTTCTGACCTTATGATGGTAGGATGGTCATTCATCAAGGAAGTAAGATGGTAAGGACTAGGGCACTATTCTGTTGAACTCCTTCAGCTATGTCTTGGGGCTGAGATGATTAACCACCAGCAACAACCATTTTTCTTTGTGCTAGGGATGACTTCAACTTGTGGAGTTTTCCTACTGAATACCATCAGTTTCCGGGCTGCTTGTTCAGTAGCCTTCTGCTTTTATGTCGAGGGCAGTCACTCTCACCTCACTGGTGTTAAGCTGTTTGTCCTTGATTGTACCAAGGTAATAATGAATTCAGCAGCAGAGTTGGTCTAGTGGAATCCATTTGAACGTACTGTTGATGACCCCTTCCATCACTTTCCTGATGATTGAGATTAGACTAATGCAGTGGTAAGCAGCCAGGTTGGATGTGGCCTTTTTTCTCTGGATGGGATATGCCTGGGCAAAATTCTACATTGCCGGGTGGATGTCAGTGTTGTAGCTGTATTAGACTACCTTGGCTAGGGGAGGTTAATTCTGGTGCACAAGTCTGTTCTGACAACTCAGAGCCTTTGTCTTTTGCACTTTGCTTGCCGAGACGAATGCAGCTCCAACAATACTCTAAAGCTTAACACCGTCCAAGACACAGAAGCAAAAGAATGTACCATCTACAAGCTGCACTGAAGAAATTCACCAGAGCTCCTTTGACAGCACTTTTCAAAACCATGACCACCCCTCTAGAAGGACAGGAGAGCAGATATATAGAAACACCATCACCTGAAAGTTCCCCTCCAAACACTGACTATCCTGACTTGAAAATATATTGCTACTCCTTCAATGTCAGATCATTAAAATCATGCAATACTCTCCCAAACAGCATTGTGGATGAACCCACACCAAATGGACTGCAGTTGTTCAAGAAGCAGTTCAGAACCATTTTCTCAAGGGCAGTTGGGACAGGTGATATATACTGGCTTAGCCAGTGAGCCTGACCTCACCGAATGAATTTTAAGAAGTATTTAGTGATGTCAGTTGTTTCTTGATATCACATGGAGTGAATCAATTTGCTTGAAGACCTCAGTGGAGATAATGTGGCCTGTTGTGCTAATGCATTTTATGTTTCTACCAATGGGTGATTGATGCTCATTAAACAACCTAGTACCTTCTGCTATATAAGCATAAAAAATATTTTGAAATTTAATTGCATGTTTCAAAAAGAATGAGAACAAAGCCAGGGAAGACATAGATGTGTTTGTCCTAGGCCTGCTGCAGTGTTCGATGAAACGTGATGCAAGCTGGAGGTACAGCACATCACTTTCTGCTGAGGCACTTTACAATTTTCAGGACTCAACATTAAATTCATCAACTTCGAGACCTTTACCTCTAGGTTTATTTAACTCCCACCCCATCCTTGTTTGCATGGGTTTCAGCTGAGCTGGCCTGCTCTCCCTGATATTAACTCCTATCATTACACTGCATCTACATCTCTGTAGCCGTTAGGATTCTCTTTGCTCTGGGCTTTTTCGCTATCTGTCTCCTACCCCCACTCCATTCATCATCTCTCTGTATCAACAGCATGAAAGAAAACATCTTCCAGTCTGATGAAGGGTCACTGGATTCAAAACTTTAACTCTGTTTTCCTCGCCACAAATACTGCCAGACCTGCTGAGTTTTTCCAGCACTGTTTTTCTCCCACTCATCCTCCTTTTTTAATCTTGATAATTTGTGAGCCATTATCTCATCCAACTATCCTTTTTTTTTCCTTGCTGCTCTAATTCTCTAAATGAATTGTTTGGGATTTTTTTTAAAGTTCTAGTTGGTATGCAGTGACCTTAGGGACACAAGTTTGCGACAAACAGCATTTTCAAAGCCGAAAGCGGCTAGACCTAGTTTCCATGGAAACCGCGCATGTTCGTGGGAGCCGTTTGTGACATCAGGGAAGGCGCGCTGGCGTCAGACGCACGGTCTCCGGGTCGGTTACCATGGAGATGCCAAGAATCTAGCAGGCCGCTGTTTTTAGAGCAGCATGTGGGCAGTCAGGATCAGCGACCAACAAAAAAATGCGGGAAATATTCGTGAGTCCAATAGCAGCAAATCTGAAGACAGCCTTTAGGGCTTTAAACAGGGGGGTTAATGGGACTGGCTGTGGGGACGGGCGGGGGGGTGAGTGGGGCTGGGGGGGGGGGGGGGGGGTTCATGGGACTGGTTGTGGGGACAGGAGCTTTAATGGGACTATTTGTGGGTATAGGAGCTTTAATGGGACTATTTGTGGGTATAGGAGCTTTAATGGGACTATTTGTGGACACAGAAGCTTTAATGAGACTGATTCTGGAGTGTGGGAATTGTCCTGAAGATAGAGCCGGGGGAAACACCTCTTAGGCAAAGGGTAAAGTCTAGGATAGAGTTTAAAAGGGCTAACAATGGGGCTTGACTGTCACAAAAACTGGTGCTGGACAGAAGGAAAAAGATGAAGAGGTTGGCACTGAAGAAGGTTTGAAAATAAGCTACGACATGGGATGGCTCATATCCGTTTCCATACACAAAAAATAATTACGCACTCACCCCTAACATTCCTGTGCAGTCCTGATTAGTGCCTCATTGTCAAAGTTGCTGTCTTTTGGTTGAGATGTAAAGCCAAGGCTCTGTGTACCACTCAGATGGCTGTAAAAGATCCCTTGTCACTGTTTGAAGATATGGAGGGACGTAAAGCCCAATATCTTAACCAATATTTATTTCTCAATTAACAACATAGAAACATAGAAAATATGAGCAGGAAACAACCATTCAGCCCTTCAAGCCTGCTGCACCATTCATCAT